TTTTCCACTATGGGAGTGTGCTGCTTGTGAGATTCAGTTTGTTTGTGGCTCCTCAGACTGATTAAGTCCTTTGGATGAAGGACGAAATGTCTCTACTAAAAAACAAACCATCCAGATGATCTGACTGAAAATTTGTGGATAGAACAAATAATTATTTGCACAGAATAAAAACACTTTAAATGGCCTTTTTAAATTTTGTCACACAAATGTATTTCTGCCCTAAAACGAGAATATCAAAGATATATTTTAAAGATTTTAGCTCATGTATTTAATGCATTTTTTCACATTTTATATTTTATGGAATTACATTTATCACAGTGCAGTATACTAGGTTCCAAATTTAATAATCTGGATTGACTACAAATTCTTGTGAATGTATCGAAGCTCGGCAGCTCTCGGACTGAATTATGTGCAGCTGTTATCAGGACTGTGAACTCTAGCAGTGCACATGAAGGTGGGAATGATCTTGGAGAAGCTGTGAGCTCGACTTTAAGGAATCAAATCGGCTGTTTGGAGTTTCCATCAGAGAAATGTACCAGTGAGACTTTAAAAGGCAGAAACAGAAATTCACGAGTTCTGCCTGACCCAGAACTGTGGCCTTGACGGTGGACTTCTCAACTCCTCCTGGCATGTTTCGGAAAAAACAAAGATGCTTTGTCTGTCTCCTCACTTCTCCCTTCCCCAAGGCCGTGGACATGTGACAGAACCTCAACTGAGCTGATGATAAATAACGCCTCTTATCTGGACAATGGCTGAGAGGGAGAGCTCTGGACTATGCTACGACTTTCCCTTAAAAATTCAATGTCTTCACCGACCTATATGTACATGTATCACGTCTGTTTGTTGCTTTGCTGTGGTAGGTTTTTTGATGCCTCATATCGTGTCCTGTCTAAGACAAGGTGTGAGAGATTTTTTATACTGTCTCTCCTCATGTTTTATTCCCTTTTCTCATCTAAGCAAAATATTATTCTGAATAAGAATAAGAGGGCCACACTTTTTTATAGTAGCAGCTTCGTGCACTCTGCCCATCTTTCGGACGACTGTACGTACATGTTCTTGTATTTCGGTGCAATGATAATAAAGCTTATTCTGATTCTGAATTTGGGCTTCCATCTCATGAAACCCATGAAAACAGGATTTAAAAAAAAAAAATAAATACTGTGAAGACATCAGCCCACACTACTTCTCAGTTTTTGCAGAAAAAAAAAATTAGGATCACAACAAATCAATCAAAATATGGTACTTTCAAAATGATATGTCAATCTTCAGTACTTGGTTGGAATCCCTTTGCCTTAATCACTGCCTCGATGTGACGTGGCATTGAGGCAATCAGCCTGTGGCATTGACTGGAACTTATGGAAGCCCAGATTTCCTCCATGCTTGCTGTCAGCTCTTCTTTGTTGTTGGGTCAGGTGCCTCTCATTTTCCTCTTGAAAATACACCATAGATTCTCAATGGGGTTTAGGTCTGGCGAGGTGGCTGGCCAGTCAAGCACTGTGGCAGGGGCCAGGTCCTGCTGGAAAATGAAATCTGCATCTCCAAACAGATCCCCAGCAGAAGGAATCATGAAGTCCTCTAAAACATTCTGGTCGTCTGTTGCGGTGACCTTGGATTTATGGAAGCAGAGTTTACCAACACCTGCACCGGACATTGCACCCCAAATCATGACTGACTGTGGATATTTCACACTGGACCTCAAGCAGTATGGACTCTGTTCCTCACCCTTTTTCCTCCAAACCCTTGGACCTTGATTTCCGAATGAAAGGCACACTTTACTTTCATTGGAAAAGAGGGCAGAGGAACCCAACAGTTGTAGCCCATCTCCTGGATGCGTCTGAATGTGGTGGTTTTTGAAGCTGTGACTCCCGCCTCATTCCACTTTTTCTGGATCTCTGCCAGATTCTGAAATCTTCTGTTTGATAATCCGCTGAAGCCCACAGTCCTCTCTTTTACTGGTCCATCTTCTGCCACATTTTGCCCTTCCACTAGAATTTCCATTGATGCTTGGACACAGCACTCTGTGAACAGCCAGCCTCCTTAGCTATGAACTTTTGTGGCTTACCCATCCTATGGAGGGTATCAATGATGGTCTTCTGGCCAGTTATGTTTGAACCAAACAGACAATTGAACCAAACTGAAGCAATTTAATGACACCTGGGGAAACCTGTGCAGGTGCTTTGAGTTTAGTAGATGATTAGTGTCACACTCCGTTTAAAATGTTCATGCCCTGCAGAATTTGGTCTGATTTCTTCACAGTATTCTAATTTTTTACATCCTGTTTTCGTGGGTTTCATGAGCTGGAAGCCCAAGTTATGTAAAAATAAATAAATACTTGAAATAGTTTAAATGGTGGGCCCCGAATCTATCATCTATTAAAGATTAACATTTTCACTTCACCACTCGCTCCCCACGAGATCGGATGCTTCTCTCCCTCCCTCTCCGCTTTGCTTTGCTGCTCTGTCTGTCTGTGAAATTGCTGTGAGACTCTCTTGTATTTCTTCCAAACCATATGGACTTGTTTCGACCAGTTGGTCCCTCAACTCAATTTACAACATTTCTTCAAAGAGAAGACAGGCTTTGGGCAAGCCGATTTACCCTGTTGGCACGTACGCAGCTGGATATCTCATCGACTGGAAGACTTGATGATGTGTCTATCTCTGCTGCCATCTGTGGATGTTAAGGACGCATATTTAATTGGATTTTCGATAACTGGTTCCTGCTTTTTGGATTCAGCTGGTGCTGGTTTTATCTACAATCAAGGAAGTCGTCAGCAGCAAATTTGGGCCCGATCACGCTGCTTGCCTTTATGATGGCTTGGTTCATGTCTGGAGTACCCGGACTCAAATGCTTTGGGCTGAATGGATCAGATCTTGGGGATTTTTTACTCAGACACATTTCCATCGGTGTGGCCATGTTAATTTGGACATTTCGGAACAGAGTAGACCAACACAGACTGAACGTTGATGTCATTAAACTCTGCCTGTCCCCAAAACAACTGTGTGTTTATCTAAATTTTGGTCGCCTTGGTGTCCTTGAAGGCCATTTTATCCAAAGTCGCCTGGAGAAAATGTGATCTGACGCTCACCACCCCCTCCCTGAGGAATTTCCAACTGATAACCAGATGAAACCCCGCTGAAAAAACTTTGTGTCATCATTTCAGGACTCTGGATTCTTATAGAGGTTATCCTTGGCCATTTCTCGACATACCTCGAGAATGTTTATGGATCTCACCGGAGGACATTGACTGATTACAGTGACCTCGAGAGCATCTATAAGCGTTGTTGACCGCTCTCGTCTCTGACTGCAGAATGTCTACGTAAATATGTGCTTGTTTGTGCAAGGTGTTTTTTCAAAATTAGGGTTTTTCTCAGCCAAGAAAAAAAGTCTGATAGGAATTTTTGTCGCCTTCAACTCCTACATGTGTCCAGTTAACCACTGGTTTTGTCTGTCCAAACAGGTCTCACTTGTAAATGAGTCTTCGAGGCTCAATGTGATTTATCTGTTTAAATAAAGGTTGAATGAAAAATGGAATTATGGAAGTTAAACAACTTTTCAATGATATTCCAAATTTTTGGAAAGGGTCTGTATACATAAAAGGTGCCGTTTTTGTAAGCCAACCCAATGACAAGGATGCCTGCAGCACCAGCACGTTATGGCTTCACGCGCAACGTTAAGTTAAGATTTGTGAAAGTGTACAAATTTGCACTGTTCGAGTGTCGTCATTGTGTTAGAGTAAATGTCATGAATAAATTTGACATTAAACCTAATCCAAGTTGAAGTATTACATCATTTTCAGCCCCCTTTAAGGCATCTGCATTTGGTAGCAGGCCAAACTGACAAAGACCATGCAGAATAATGTATTTTAATTCCACAGCAGAGAAAGCTATGTAGTCGTAAATAGGTTTAGGGAAAAAATATCGGTATCATCGGTCAAATAAGTTTTAACATATCGGATGTTGGACAAAAATCCAACATCCCTAGTGAGATGTTCCTTCAAGGAATGTTACATTATCAGATTCACATTTGCAAATATCACTGCCACTTTGGTGATATGTGCTGCTGATTATCCATGCTGCTGATTATTTCATGCCGTTGTATTCATTCATACTCATCTACTCACAAAGACTCATGTTCGTGCTGCTGTTTGGCGTATTGATTTGCACTGTTAGTATTTAGCATATTCTTAGTTTATATCTTAGATCTTTATTTACTGGGGGGTTTTTTTTACACTTTATATTTTGCTATTATTTGATGTAACTGGGACCCTGTGTACACAATTTCGTTCCACCTCATGTACCACGTGATGCGAATGGCAAAACCTACTTGAACTTAAGCAGAATGACAACTGATGGAAACACAAGTTTACATCAGATTAAATGTCATTTCATGTGTTTCTTCTGTTACATTATTCCCTCTCCCTTGTTTTTTAATGCGAGTGCTCTGAAACGACTCACATTGCAAGTCTGCTAATCTCTTCCAGCTGCTGTCAGATAAGGGTGAATACAAAGAGGCGATGGAGGTGCTAAAAAAGGCCTTGAAACTGGAGCCAACCACCAAGGTGAGGGTTCCTCCTCAAACTCTGAATCTTTACACTCAAACTAAATTTCTAATGCATTTAATTTGTTTTAATGCAATAACTTGTTCTTGCTAGTGAGCATTGATTTTTGTTTTATTTGGTAAAGGATCTTTATTCGTGGCAAAAGGCCTACATGTTGCCACATTAGCTCGAGGAGCTCTGAGCAACCCTCTCCAGTTTAGAGCTGGTTACGTCTTGTCTGCTGGCTTGTTTATTCTGCCAATTTCTGTAAAAACACGAAGGCAAACAGCACACGCCTCAGAACTTCCTAACAAACTTTGTCTAAAGAATAGACCGTTTGTGCATCTCAAATATAGTTACGGTGGCAAGAAAACTTTAATTCATCCTTTCCAGCTACAGAACCCACTTTACTTTGTAGAAGTGAGATTAGGTTTAGTCACAAAAACTTCACTTGCCTGTTTAAAGGACGTGGGTGCGATGCGGTGCAGAGGACTTTCCATCAGCTGTTTACAAAACACTGCAGCCATTATTAGTGACCTGACGCACAGGGCACGCTGGTCCCGTCTAGACTGAGTGAAAATAACTGCTGCTTTGAGAGAAAGTACTAAATGTTCATTTTTTTAAATTTCCCTGATCATCCTCGAAACTTTACTGCTTTGAGTGATGACCTGAAATTCAGGTGAAAATGAATTGTCGTTGCTCTTCTGAATGTTGAGCTGGAAGCTTTGTTGTCTGGACAGTTTTCAAACTACAGCCTTCTTACAGGCGATCCACGCAGAGTTATCCAAACTTGTCCAACGACAGTCAGGAAGCGGCGATGCTCAGCAATGGAAGGCCAAACCAGCCGCGATGCTCGGAGACGACGTTACACCGTTCCTGACTCCTTCCAAAAACAAAACACCTGTAAGCCACCTTCTTTACACGTCTTAGTTTTCTTATTAAGGTGATTCAGACTGGTTTTGTGTTTTAGGGAGTTTCCTGGAAGTTCATCCTGGGAGCCCTGCTGGTGGCTCTGGGCAGCTTGGTGACGTCACTGATTCTGACTGTTAGAAACTGAAACCCTCTACAGGAAGGAGGCGTCATCGTGACGTGCAGGAGAAGGTCGGGTTCCCACCGCAGCGCTGGAGCCCGTACTTGAGTTCTACTGAAAGGTGGACTGAAGAGTCGAGCGGATTCTAACGATCCACGACGATTTCTGCAGCTCGATAACACGTTTTTAAAAATTTGTCTTTATTGAGTTAAGATGCAGAATATATACAAACAACAAAATCAGTCCTCAAAGAAAAACTCCTAAAATTTTGTTCCACGCTCAGAAAAAAAAAACAAGTTAACAATATTTAAAATAAAACAAAACAGAAAAATGCAGCTAGGTCAGAAAAAGTGCTGATCAATACAAATATCTGATTTTTAAAAAATTCTATATTTAGTGATAAATCTCAAAACCAGGCATCAATAGATTTTATTTATACAAAAGGGTACTTTTACTGATATATAAAAAGTTAATGTTTGCTAAATGTTGTACGTCTTTGTACAACAGTTTTATAAATATCTACAGTTCCTAAAGACTTTAAAACACATTAAAATACAAAAGAACCTGTTTGGAGTAAAAGCAGCACAACGTCGTCCTCTGGTTGATAAAAACAGACGAGCAGGAGTCGTTTACCGTCCACAACAACTGTTCAAAGTCTTCTTTGGGTTGCTTTGACCGAGTCTGACCCGAGAGACCGACCGCCGCCTCAGACTGCAGTTTTTCTTTACTTCTCTGTAAAATAAGAAAAGAAATCACTGCGGACACGGTTTCAACGGTTTGGGAGGAAAATCAACTCGGCCCGGCCTCCTACCTTGCCAGATGAAGCACGGCCTCGGTTATGTTGGTTCCGTCTTTGGCACTGGTTTCACAGAACAAGGCACCGTACGCCTGCGAGCGACTCAGTTAGTTCACTCTGACACATAGGAGGTCGCTGTAAACCCCCACCTAGTGGAATTAAAAACTCACCTTGGCCAGCTTTTCTCCGTGCGCAGTGCTGACACAGCTTCCTGCTGGAAGCTGCTCCCGGAGGTCCACCTTGTTTCCAATAACACACAGGGCCAGTTTCTCATCGGTGGATTCCTTCGTATAAACAAAGAACGGTAAACAAATCTCTGCTTCCTTATGTTTATTTGAACATGTCAGCTACCTGGATCTGATCCACCCACGCCCTGACGTTCAGGAAGCTGCTCTCAGAGGTAACGTCGTAGAGCAGCAGGACTCCGTGAGCTTTACGAAAATATGACCTGGCAATGCTGCGGAACCTGAAGTGAAAAGGAGACGTGCGTGTAGTTTTAGTCCGGAGTCATTCCCCATGGAGCATCAAAAGGTGTTTACATGTTTACACTGGTGTGATAATAATACGCGTCTGCCGTTGCTTCCTGGATAAACATCCTTGGGCAGATGACGTACCTCTCCTGACCAGCTGTGTCCCATATCTGCAGACTGGTCGCCTCTCCGTCCACCAACATCCTCTTCATCTGGAAATCAACGCCTGGGAGCACAAAGAAGTTCCATTTATATCCAAGAATGCAGCTGTGACAGTCGGCAGCTTTTGGTTTTCATTTTCACTCCTTTGTTCTCCATAAAAATGCCAAAATCCATCATTGCTTTAGAAACAGAATGAATATAAAAACATTTACACTGCTTCTGCATGAAAATCAAACCTCCGTATGTGGAGCAAACGTTTCAAATGATGCTCGTTTGTTTTTGACACCCACCCAGCGTTGTCTGAATGTCTCCTCTGAACTCGCTGAGTGTCAGACGCAACAGGAAGCTGGACTTTCCAGCTCCTGCATCTCCGGCCAAAACCACACGGTACATCGGGGCAGAGTCGATATCCTTTGCAACGCCCTCCTCAAACGGCTGCACGAATTGACAAAAACAAAAAGGTTATAAGCTCGTCAGACTGTGACACCAGGAGTGCTGTCACTGAACAGTAAGTTCAGCTCAAACAGCATCAACAGCAAGAGAGATTTCTCTCTCTCTAAAACAAGGCTAAAATATGCAAGTGTCATTTTTAAAACTAATCAGGGTTGGAAACGCTCCATGGACATTATTCGAAGTTTATCAAATTAAAGGTTGGCACATAACAGATTTGAGCAAAAACAACTGGATTTCATGCTGTCCATCAATCACATGAACATAAGCAGCTTTCTGTTGCAGCCACGCCCCCTACATGAACCGTGCACTCCCGTCACGTGCACAGATGATTTCTACAAGTCTGGACGATCAAGGCCACATTTTCTGAACCTGGAGCACGAGACGGCTGCATCGTCTGAATAAATGGGTTTAAATTCCAAAACGCATGTTCCTACCCACCACCACCCAACACACTGATTAGATCCCAACATTTAAGTATGAGTCTATATAAAATAATTAAGAATATCAGAAACTAAATGAAAAGTGCTGAATCAGTGTCATGTAATCAGCTCTGTGGATTTGCTTGAGCTCGTTTTGGATCGACTGAGAAAAGGTTTTTGGATCATTTCTGGAAATGTTCCACCACTTTGCAACCCCAAGTTATTCTGATAATTGTATTCCCTCAAGGAAGTATTAGTCAAACACATCATTACCAGGTAGATTTTATGTAAGAAAACAAAAAGGGGTTTACCTTTGGGGGAAAGGCAGACAGGCGTCTTCGCAGGGATGAAGCTGCAGAGCTGCCTCTGCTGGGAGCCACCGACACCGCAGCTTCAGATTTCACCTCGGAGATCTGTAACAACCAAACTCAGAGCTGTGGGGTTCTCCCTTGACCTTCCTCCACACCTGGACCCAGCTGTTTTTTACCTCTACATCAGACGGGATGTACGAGTAGCTGTGGTGCACGGTCTCCACAGAGCTCCGGCTGTCGTCGCTGTCGTAGTCGCTCTCGGCCGTGTACGTCGGCAGGGAGACCCCGCTGTCCAGGTACCGATCGGCCCAGGTGGCCACTCGAGAGAGCGAGGGGTTCTGCTCCGAGCTGCAGAAACAAGAACACAGAGGGGGGGGTAACGGTGTAACAAGTTCCTCCCACAAAGAACCTGATGTACCTGCCGTGGTTGAGTGTGCTCTGTCGGAGCGGTTTCATTCTTCGGGCGGGGATTTCATTCTGGGGAGACAACTGCCGAGCAGATTAAAGATGTGATGAAGAGAAAGAACCAGAGCAGACTTTTAGGTCCTTGTCTCAGAGCCAGCAGGTATGAGCCCACGAGGAACTTACTCTTCTTTTAGCTGCAACCACTTGACTGGCTAAAGCGGAGCGCAGGCCGTCGTTACTGTCGTACAGCTTCTTATTCAGCTCCCTGACGGTGTGTTCAAAGAAACAAGTTAATCTTCATACGACCTGCACGTATGTTCACACAAGCTTCTTTAGAACTGATCGACAGTGAAAACTCCTGAAACATTTCATTTGTTTTGACTCATTTTCAGTCTCTGTACTTGAAGAATCATATTAAATTGTTAAACTTGTCTCCATGACTCAGATCGATGTAAATACATTTACCTGCATTTTGACAGAGATCATCGTGTTTTCCAGCCCTCATGTCTTCATTCTTACAAAAATGTCATCTCTTGGATGTTAAATGTTAAAATTGTTAACTAATTGCTTATTATTACAGAACTTGGTCTTATATTTGTTTATTACTTATTAAAAACGCAGCTGCTGGTTGGCTTTGTTCTTTTTTTTTATTTTTTTTATTCAACATGTGATGAGCTCCACAGATAAAACTCTTCTGACTTGTGACTAATTCAAGACATTTGTACTATGATAAATCTTTTAATTAAGATTCCTGTAAAACACAGACTCACTGTAGCATCTGAATCTGACTGGAGTACGACTGGTATTCCTCGACCGTCCTCTTCAAGTCTTCTGTTTCTCTGTAAAGACGTAACAGGTTGGATTCCTTTACACGTAAGCTGAAGGTAAAGATGGACGTTTACCTTTCGTGTTGAGCTTTTTGATCTTCATGCATGTTCTTCAGCTTGTCCAGCTCAGAGAGGAGGACGGCGATGTCCGTCTCCGCTTTCAGCAGAGAGCCTCGCAGCTGCTCGTTTTCCTGGAAAGAGACGCACTTCTAACAATTCTGAGCAACGTGCACGTGGCGTGTTTTAATAAATGTCCCGAGCAACTTACCTGCAGGAGATCACAGATTTGTCTGTTCAGTTTGATCACCTCCTCCTTCGACTGGTTCAACTCAGAACTCTCTTGATCCTTGATTAAAATATAAGATGAACATTTTGTTAAGACAGTGGAGGCTAAAAAGCTGCAAGATGTACCAGTAGGCCTTTTTATGTTCTTATGATGAGGTTTCTACAGTTCGATAAAAACCTTCTAAATTAACTATTCAAAGAGAACTGCATTCACTGAGTGGCACATTTTTAAAGTTATAAATTGGGTTTTATTTTCTGATTACACTAATTTTAACAATCTTTTTTTTAGTATTTAAATGCACTTTGTCTTGATGCTATAGTTTAATGCGTTTTTTGCACTTTGAACAGCAACTTTATCTGCATCTTGTACAACGTTAAAGTATACTTGAATTGTTGAGTCCTACAACATTTTCTGAGGCCTAACTAACAAGCATACTGCACACATACTGGACACATACTACAGCATACTGGAAATAAAGTACTGATGGAAACCAGGCACTGTCAGCTGGTGCCACCTGCTGGACAAAGTGTGCTACTGCGACCAGTAGAACTGAGGAGCTGTTCTGGTTTAAAACGTGTTCAGCGTAGCTGCAGCGTTCTGTGACAACACGTGTAGTCTGTCTGAACACCATTGAGTCGATCACCTCAATGGTCTGACAGGGTAACTGGTCTGAAGTTGGTTCTAGGTTAGTTTATTTGTTTCTCAACTGACAAAGGGCCAGGGCCAACAAACCCCACTGATATCATCATCATTTATGCGATGGCTTTTGACAACTCGGTAGGTAAATTCTGCATCCAAGGTGGAACACTAAATACAACCAAGATCTCCATGTGGTCACTGAGCATCATTTACGCACATCTTCAGTAAGGGTAGAGCCCAGCACATCTTATGTGAAAGCATTACATTAAAAAAGCCCAACTGTTGCACAGAGACAGAGCCCCCTCTAAAAATAAAGAATACTTGACATACATGTCATAAACATGCATAGAAGTTTGCATGGCTGTAAATGCAAAAATGTTTTTTTATCTTTTAAACCGACTTGGTTAAACTGTTTAATTATGACCATTTGATGCCTCTTGTCACTAACTCAACATTTAACCCTTTGTCCTAACAAGGAACCCAGAAATGACTCAAACTTATTGTAACTGAGATAAAGCTAATGTTTCTGTCAAGTTCAGTGCTTTTCATGAAGAGGTTCATAATGAGGAAACAGAAACGAGTATACACACACCAGTACAAGAGAATAAAACGTTGGTGCTTTAATGGAAAGGAAACTCGGGGCACAAAGCAGCGTGTTCATCTACAGCTCAAATGATCAAACTTCATGTGGTCGAGTGAGTCCTCATCTGGAACCAAACACACCCTAAACTGATCCTCCTCATCCCTCGAGCGAGGGTGAGTTTGTTCACACTTGTTACTATTGCAAATCCAGAAAGATGCAACTGGTCCTCCATCACAAACATACAAATCAAGTACTTTGAATAAAATGTAAAAGATGATCATTTTTATGTACCGTCTTTTCTCTGCCCTATAAGTCGCATCAGTCCATATTTGTCTAATGAAGTGGAAAAATCCATAAATATGTTGCTTCGCCGTATAAGTCGCATCAATTATGCATCACTGCTGACAACCCGGAAACGTGGGCCGGTGTGTCAAAAATCGATTGGCTGCCAAATGGCGGCTGCGGGAGCGTGCATGGGAGGACTTTAACAAGAATTTAACAAGATTAACACTTGAAAATCATTTGCTTGAAATTAGAGTAAAGGTGTTTCCTCAGTCTAACTTTTGCTTAATAAATGCACTTTGACGATCAAATCAGCTGTATTTCAAAAGCCGATTTGCGGAAGCGTGCACGTGCAGAGGGACGAGTTGCTGTGCGTTTCTTAAAAATTAACACGATAAGCACCTAAAACAATTATTTGTTTGCTCGACTTTATAGCAAAGGTGTGTCTCAGTCTAACATTTGATTAATAAAAGGATTTTAACGGTCCAATCAGCTGCATTTCAAAAGTATTCGCTGCCTCAGTGCTCCAGGAGTGTGCAGACAGGGAGGAAAACAGGAAGGAGGAACGCTGCGCATTTCTTGGAAATTTAACAAGATAAGCACCTAACACAATTATTTGTTTGATTGAAATTATAGTAAAGGTGTGTCTCAGTTGAACTTTTACTTAATAAATGCAATTTAATGGTCATATCAGCTGCATTTCAGCTGATTTGATGGTTGCTCCAAGCAGCAAGCAGAACAAAGGTGGGGAGACTGTGGCAAGCTGATTGTGTCATTAATAGCTGGTGAAGATTCTCAGTCATCCAGGACATGGTAAATTCAAAAAAGTTCAAGACAAAAACAAACTATAAAGTATAATAAGATCCAGTTGTTTTTGTCTTGAACTTTTTTGAATTTGTCATTATAGCCACTTTTACCAATTACATAATAGAACAGCATGCCATACATTGAGTGCCATCTAGCGGCTGAAAATGGTAAATGTTCAATATTTTCAATGTCAGAATGAATGAAAACGGTCATATCTCAGCCAAAAATTGGTTTATAAATATGAGGAAAAAATCCATAAATACGTCACTTCAGCCTATAAGTCGCAGGGCATGCAAATTATGCAAAAAACTGCAACTTATAGGGCGAAAACATAGTAATACACCTGGTGTTCGAAAATACAGATATCTGAATATTTGGGGGAAATTCAGTTGTCACTTTATAGAGCATCCCCTCAGATTTTCTGTTTACCTTCATCCAGACACAAAAGGCTGGTTGTTGCATTGTAAAGATTTTATTTGTGATTTTGGATTAAATATTTTAGATAAAATAGAAAATCTGAAAGATAAAGATTAAGGCTAAGATTAAAATAAAATGAAATCTGAACCCCTTATTTTTTCTTCGTCTGTGACGTTATCTGTAAAAATAAACCTCACCTGTGCGCTGCGGGTGCTCGTCTTAAAACAACGTTTTTCCCTCAGGATAACAAAATAACGTTCACGTTGTTTGCGAGGACCTCCGTACCTTTAGCAGCCGGTCAACTGTGGCATGCAGGTCTGCAACCTCATCTTTGTGCTTCCTCTGCATGGTTGCCATGACTCCTTCCATTTTTTTCCGCTCCTGCAAACATTAAACCGAGGCGGTCAGAGGCGCAGGCCGAGTCCGAGCTTCAAGTGGGGCTTTCATCAGACTTTACAGAGGCTCTTTGTGAGAGGAGACGTCTAACCTGCAGCACACAGTGACTGGACTGCACCACAAATATGTAGGTGGCTAAACTTGTCACTTTGGCTGCAAGTTAAACACTAATAATCCACAAATCTTTATACCATAAGTTATTCATGCCGTTTCCCCCCACTGAACAAATATTAAGTCGGCAGGTATGCCACTCACCTCGTTCCTGACCCGTTCCTCTGTTCTTGCCAGCTGTTGCTGAATATCTTCCTCCAACTCTGCCAGCTGACTGTTATTCATCTCCTCAGCTCTGTTTCAACAAGAATGTACAAAGCGTGTCATGGCAGCCGCATATCTGATTCTCCAACACAAATCCAAGTTATTATAAAGAATCTTTGGGTCTGGACTTCAAACCTAACCAAGAGTTGTGACCACTTTGCTGTAACTGCACCTCGTCTGAACCAATCCCAGTCATGTACTGCTCTTTGAAGCTGACATTTAGTTTTAAAAAAATAAGATCCTGCACATTCATTATTCAGTGACGGGTGGAAAAGTGAGGCCCAAATAATTCTACACAAACAAACAAACAAACAGAAACACAAGTTTAAAAAGAAATGAAAGAACTGGTAAGCAAAGACAATTAAGTCTTTCTACTTCCTTGAGTGAGGAATGCCACCTGTCCCCCCAAATGAAACTCAAATAAATAAATAATAATTAAAAAAAAAAAGAGTAAAGACAATAAGCTCAGACTCACATTCATGGCTCCAGACTGAAACTATTTGGTGACAGTAGTTTTTTTTTTATTTTTTTTAAAGAGTTTTGTGATCAAATAAAAGCTCTTCCTGGTTTTCCCCGTTATCCTACATTATGTCGAACTCTAAAAAGAACAGAGTGTGAGAGCGTGCATGTCAATGTGTGAGATGTCGTCAGAAAGAGATGCTAATGCCGAGCTCTAGCCTTCACAAAGAAAGAGCCCGGCACTGTGCAGGGTGTCCCCTGCATCAACTCCCACTGTGTTCTGCCATTTAAACCATGAATACGTAAAACGGATCCATCAGAAGCTGCTGCACCAGAACAGCTTCAACTCTCTGATTAAAGGAATCAGCAGGTGAAGTCACCGTGAAACAAACAACCTTCAAGATCATTTGCAGGGACATCAGTTTGGTTAGACAAACATAAACCTTAACAGGAGGACAACATCCGGCACATTTGACTCCTGTCAAACGTACACAGCAGTAAAGTAATCTATAACAATGGCCTGAACAAACAAGGATCTCGTTTTTCCTTTGACCTTAATCTTAAAGCAGGCGTGAAGACAACTGTTCAGGACACTCTGTCTAGTGATGCTTAAAGTTTCATTAAAATATCTTAAGTGGATCAGAAGTTATGGGCAGGACAAGGGGAAGTTTACAGATGCACTTCTGGGTGGAGACTATCCCGTAATACTTCAACGGGTGCATAAAAATAATAAAGAAAAATAAACATCAACAGAATTATGCATGGAGGAATAAATTCAGAGAATAGACCTGAGCACAAGTCAGAAGCTTGTTGAATACATACAAACCACATGGTATCACCGAACAACCACAAGCTTCTTGAGGCAGATGAAAATTCTCAGGGACTGTGAGACGGGGGTGAGGCGTGTGGTAGGAGTAACTGATGGGTTTGAGGTGGAGGCGGGATCACAACCCCTGCTTGTCTGCCTGCTTGATGATGAACAGGTCGGCAGATGAGGTCAGAACTACGTTTGCAGATGACACTTTGATCTGCAGTCAGAGAAGGGAGCAGGTGGAAGAGAACCTGGAGAAGTGCAGGTATACACCGAAGAGAAAAACAATGAACGTTTGTAGAATCAAGACTAGATGAGCCAACATATCTGGGGTCAACCGTCCAAAGCAAGAAACATAAAAAATGTGAAGAGTGCGGGCAGGGCAGGGTGGAGTGGACGGAGACAAGTGTCAGGGGTGGTTTGTGACAGGAGGACAGCTGCAAGAGAAAACAAGAACATTTACAAAATGATGGTGAGATCTTCTATAATTTATTGTTTGGAGATGGTGACTCCAACAAAACAAAAGTCAGGAGGCAGGAAGTGCCAGAGATGAAAGTGTTGGCGTTTTCATTGGAACTGACCAAAAAGGAGAGAATTGAAAAAATGAGTATATTTTTCATTCATTCAACCTCGGACACATGGAAGGAGGGCTAGTAGATATATACTTTATACAGGATGTTATATACTTTATACAGGATGTTAAACAGAGCTGCCAGGGAGGAAGAAAAGAGGAGGACCATGAAACTGGTTCATGGATAGGCCTGTCACAATAAAGTTTGCTGGGCGATTAATTGTCTCAGAAATTATTGCGATAAACGATAATATTGTTTGAAATTTAACAATAATTAATTGTCAAATTTTAGAAGAAATGTGATTTGTTTGGAGTGTAATACCTTTTTTGACAGTAGAAGACAGTTTGAACCAAAGGATGGATAATTGAGCAGTGAGTCTCTTTCAGAAAAACGTAAGGGAGGCCCCTTGACGCGACATGGGCTGACACTGACACAGCGGATGCTCGGTGATTTGAGCTCTTCAGCGTAGCATTCGTCACAAAAAGCTTTTAATTAAAAAAACAAAAAATCAGTAAACAAGTTCTCAGCTTCCTTTTGCAGAGGAAAAAAAAACTTCTTGCACAAAGGCACGGGTTTCAACCACAAATTTTGGACAGTGCTTCCCCTACAAATATACAAGCGGGGTGCCCCACCCCGTCAACAGAACTGAGCGCCCCGCCTACCAAACCAAACCCCCCACCCGCCCTCGGCACTGACATCGTACTAAGCTAGCGGCGCGAAATACAGGTGCTCGAGCTAAAAAAAAAAAACTAAAGGCAGTGCTCACGTTGCCTCTTCTCTCAAGCTGAACCCCCTCCACACACACACACACACACACACACTCTCTCAAAAACTGTCTGTATAAACAGCGCACAACTCAAACGTGTCGCGCTAAGCTAGCAGCGTGCAATACAGGCACTCTAGCTAAAAAGCTAAAAGCGCCTCTTCCCTCATGCTGAACACTCCCCATGCTCAAAAACTGTTGTACAAGCTGCGCTCAGACACGTCTCCGTCCCCCCCGTCAACAAAAATCATGGATGAGAGGAGCACCCCGCCATGGCAGGTTAACTCGGAGAAACAATGTTTGAGCTCCGACAAGACGGAGGTTTATTCCCGAGGTCGGCCTGTTAGCTTAGCTTCTCGGCTTAGCTGCTTTTAACGATCCAAAAACACGATTTTGGATCGTTGAAATGGATTTAAATAGAAAAGAGAAAGGGAGGGGTCAGTGAAGAGCACCAGAGTTGAGCCTTTCATCATCCAGTGTCTTCAGTAGAAAGAAAGAGACAGGAAGAAACGATAAAACCGATAAATGAAAACGAGGTCGATAATTTTCATTCATCATGCGATTGATTGATTGATTGATTGATTGTTTATCGCAACAGGCCTATTCATGGATGTAGGGATGGGAGGATACGCAGGAGGTGTGTGACAGAGGAGGACGCTGGGATGGAATGGAGGCAAATGATTCATTGCAGCATCTGCAGAAAGTAGCAGCTGAAAGAAACTCCGTTGCTTCACATTAGTCCCAACTTTTACATCTCAATAAGTCATGAGCAGAACGAGGTTTGAGACCTCCTGCTCTGGGGATCACATGTGCGACTACAAAACACAGCAAGTCTTTAAAATGAGCCCCAACCTATTTAGAACCGATAAGAGAGCTCGACATTTTCACACAGAGGGTGTGTGGCAGCCTGGCACACAGGAAGCACAAAAAAATCTCTCAATGAACAGCAAAGGATCAATATAAAATGATCACATATGGTGAATATAAATAATAGTTTTTCTTACCGCTTTAGATTGGTCTCCATTTGTTCACATTCTAGTTTGTTTTCTAGGCTTTTACTGACAAGAGAGTGGACGACGTCCTCGTACGTCTGCAGGAAAGTCATGTTTGCAGAGGAGTGAATGGCCTGGTAAAGATCCGCCAGCTGCTCCCTAAGACTGAGGACAAGAACATTTACTACAAGCAATAAAACACCAACGTGACTTCATCACTGGAGATGAAAGGCAGATTGTTAGTGTGAATTAAATTAGTTGTATTGCTCAAGAACAACAAAAAATATGGATTAAAATCCAAATACACTCATTTTAACAAGGTGATGCTCTCATTAAAGTATTGCAAAATGCTTTAGAACGTACTTTTTATTGACCGTTTCACACAACAATTGTTTACATCTGTACACTGTATATAGTCTATACATGTGACAGAAATACACAATCCAACGAGATGCTTTAAAACCTTCTGGACTTGTAAAGATTCTGGTGGGTCCAGCTGTCGACCTGGACTTTATAACTGATGTGAAAGTACCAATACTAAAAACACTGTAGGTCCCAGGATGGACTGCTTGTGTAACTCAAAGCTATTCCAGCATCCACTGCAGCTGATGTGGATCCTTCAGGTTCCTCACATGAACATCTGTTGAAGTGGTCACCAGTTTAAATGTCTGCCCTTAAAGACAACTTTTGAGTTGAATCGCAATTTTCTGATTTTTGAGGCCATCACACTCAATGAATAAATAAATAAATACTAAAACTAATAAAACAAATTGACTTGTCAAGTCATTCCTCTTATTTGTTTGCCCTCCAGCAAATGACATCACCTTTGGATAAACACCGTAATTACCTGTACATTTTTACATCTTCGATAAGCACATTGATGACGTTAAATAAAAACACACAAATAATAATAAAAGTCTGACACAATTATAAAATAGATAAATAAATAAACTCATCCCACAATCAAAGCGATCAATCAAAGCGATCACTGTGGCAGTGGTTAAGTCTAGGTGTATAGAATAAATGCTCAAACGGCTTGCCATACACGCAGGTAGCTAGCGGTTAGCGATGCAAACTTATAAAAGTTGGCTCTGTGTCATTTTACCCCTCAGAAAGGAGAAAGTCCGCATCTATCCGGTCCACGAAGTCTCCCCCGCGGGTTTGGGACGTCCCGGCGCCAAAGGACGCCAGGTCCAGAGTCTCTGAGACCTCCAGGAACCTGGAGGAAAACCTGTCGTAGTCGATGAAACCGTCCTCGCGCGCGCCGAACTTGTCGAACAGAGTTCTGGTCTCCGTCTCCGGGACGTTGAGCTCCCTGCAGACAACCGTGAAGTCCTCGTACTCGATCCTGCCGGACTTGTTGACGTCACAAGCAGAGAAAAGTCTCTGAAGGCTGAGTCGATTCATGGCGTTTGATGGAGGCATGCAGACTGGAAATGTCCAAGTGGGACCAACTCCTCGGACAAGTGGCTGCAGCTGGTGAGCCTGCCAAAATAAAGGGCCAGGTCTGAGGAGGAGGCACGGATTGGTTCAGGTCCAAATGAGGGCGGGTACCAGCCGAGCCACTGGACCACAGTGGGCACCTCCCGGCTGCTACCTGGAGTCACTTGAATTTTATAAATATTGTGTGAATATTTATGAAACATTCTCATGATCCATTTCTCTTTTCCAGCATCTTTCTCGTTTCACAATTCGTGTGCTATTGCAACAAATCATAAATCAAAACCTCTTTCAGGACAAATCCTGCTATGACTTTTGGTATTGGTGCAACTTCAGCCTTTTCTGCCACTTTTTCTCATAGAAAATGAATTGAGCTCATTTTACATCCTTCATATTTTTAGATCGGTTTACAACCTTTTACTGCTCCTTCCACATTTTGTTGTGGTCCAGCTTCTTTCAGCTTCCTTGTGCAAATTAAATAAAAAAAAACCATCAGCTACTTTCAGGTATTTTTCAGCTGTTTTTTCAGATTATTTCTGCTAACTACAACATTCTAACTTCTTTCTGCTAATTTCAACTTGTTATGCTCCTTTCAGCTGATTTCTGCAAGTTTCAGCTTTTTCTGCTATTTCAGCTACTATTTAGCTGTTTTGTGCTAATGTTAGCATTTTCAGCTAATTCCACATTTTTGGCACTCATTTCAAATTTTTTTCAGGCAAATTTAGCAAAAATGTGCTCTCCCAACTTCCTTCTTTTAAATTTAAGCTTCTTTTTGCCTTTTTAGCTACACTTCAGCTGTTTTTTTGTTGTTGTTGCTATTTTCATCTTTTTTCAGATAAATTCCTTATTTTTTGTGCACATTTCTGTTTCTTTCAGCCTAAATGGGTACAGTTGTGCTCTCGCCACTTTCTTCTGGTAATTTAGGTTTTGTTCTGCCTTTCAGCTACTTTTCAGCTATTTTTTTTCTGACTCAGCGTTTTTAGCTAATTTTTTTTTTGTGCTCATTTCTGCTTATTTAAACTATATTCAACAAACATGTGTTCTTTCTACTTTTTTTCTGCTAACTTAGGCTTGTTCTTCCATTTCAGCTACATTTCAGCATGTTTTTAGCTAATTTCAGCTGTTTTTCAGCAGGTTCCTCAGCAATAAGCATTCATACTACATTTTCTCAGGAACTGCAATCTCTCTCTTTAATATGGCCCTGCAGCAAATCCAGGACAGATAAAGTGCTCACGTCTGTTTGCCTTTGGTGTGTGTGATGTGTGTGTCTCACACGTCACACACACTCCTCTCTGTGTTTGCAGAGAAATGTGACTCCACCCTGCCAAGATGAAACTAAAGATAAACCTTTGTAAACACTGCAAATTCAAAACATTCCATGAAGGGATGCATATCGCCCGTCATCTGTCATGCCAGAGATTAAGACAACAGATCATCTCGCGCAGAGAGGACAGACTTGTAATCGTTTTGGTCCAACCTTGAAACTATTGTGCAAGTTGAGCTGGGGATGAACTTGACTACTGTCGCATGAAATTTGACCTCAATATTTGTAAAACTAACTGAGTTACAGCCATTTTTGTGTTTTCTAAGGTCAGCTGGCTGTGGCGGCCATCTTAAATCTAGATTACCTCAGATTTAATCTCTTGTAGATGTTCACCTAATGATTGTTTCCTAAAAGTTTCAGTGAAATCTGCCTTGTGGTTCACGAGATATTTTGCTAACAGACAAATATCACTCCAGTTATTAACTTTAGATAAAGGTCCTGCACAGTCTGTTGGAATGTGTGTTGGGGATCAGTCTCAGCTACTACCACACTAATCTTTATATCTGTCTAATTAGACGACTTAAAATCGTTTAGATGTTTTTTAAAATCAGGTGGCTGTGACGACCATCTTGAATCCAGATGATTCCAGATGTTAATCATTTATAGGTGTATATTACTTTCTTCAAGTTTAAATAAAATTGATCCAGTGGTTCATAGGATATTTTGCTAACAGACAGCCACACAAACACATGCACACAGTTAAAAACATTATTATTCATCTTTTTTTTAAACAGTGAGACATTATTTCCCGTCAATTTTAGACCACAGCAGATAAACGACCAAAAGTTAAAAAATAAAAGTTATCTATTTCATCTTTATTTGCAAAAAAATTAAAATAAAGTGCTTTTTAAAATATACAATACAAAAAGAAAAATAAACAGTAGTGATGTATGGTACAAAAATACAGTTCACAATAATTATACACTGGCAGCATAATTTTATTTACAAATCAACTTTAGAATTAAAAAACAACAACTTGTTTACTGCAGCTGTACAATGCGTGTTTAACAAACTGTGCTGTCATGAGAACAACAGGCCCGACTGCAGAGGACAACACTGGTGGCGTCGATAGTTTCAGCTCAGACACGTCGCGTTTGTTCCAACATTTTATTATTTTGTTCCGTTGGCAGTCTCAAAAGTGGCGTTTGTGTATTTTATCAATAACAGTCAAAGCACAAATCTTTCGTGCTCCACAAGTGATTATAGAACCGCTGTCTTTGAAATTCACTTCTCAGTCTTCATTATAGGAAATGCATTATTATGACCAAAGTAGTCCCTGACTGAAATTGTAGACAAATAGACCTGTCATGATAACAAATTTTGCTAGGCGATTAATTGTCTCAGAAATTATTGCAATAAACGATAAAATTGTTTGAAATTCGACAATAATTAGTAATTATTGTCAAATAATTAGTAATTACTGTCAAATTTAAGAAGAAATGTAGGTTAATTGGTTTTGACTGTAGTACCTTTTTTGACCACTGGATGGCAGTATAAGACTGTTTGAACCGAAGGATGGACAGTGAGGGAGTGAGCAGCGTGTCTCTTTAAGAAAAATGGGAGGGAGGCCCCTTGACGTGACATGGGCTGTCTCGCTTCCATTCTCAAAATGCAGATGGTGTGGTTTGATCTTTTTAGCATAGCATTTTTTCACACAAAGCTTTTAATTAAAAAAAAAATCACTAAACAAGTTCTCAGCTTCTGTTTGCAGAGAAAAACAATTTTTTACACAATGGCACAGGTTTCAACTGTGAATTTTGGAGCTTCAACAAGACAGAGGTTTTTTTTCTCGCCCAAGGTCGGCCTGTTAGATTTGCTCGTAGCTTAGCTTCTCAGCTTAGCTGCTTTTAACGATCCAAAAACGCTATTTTGGACGGTTTAAAATGGATTTTAAAGAGAAAGGGAGGAGTCAGTGAAGAGCACCGGAGTTGAGCTTTTTGTCATCCAGTGTCTTCAGTAGAAAGAGAGACACGAAGAAAAGATGAAGCTGATAAATGAAAATGAGGTCAATAATTTTCATTTATCGTGCGATTAATTGATTTATTGTTTATCGCGACAGGCCTATAGTCAAATAATAAGATTTAATGACAAAAGGACTCCTCTGTGTTTTACGATACTATCTACATATATGGTATTTCGTGTTTCCGGTTGTTTCTGTGAGTGACCGTTTTCTTTCACACATTCACCCCAAAGCGCTCATCTGAAGAGGCACATCTGATTACTGTTTCAGAAAGCTTTGTTCATTTTCACTCAGGCAAATTTGTGGTCAGACCCACAACCTGCACTGTGCTAAGGCTTTAAACAAGTGCAAATCCCACAGCTGCATGCCTTCTCTCAATCACATCAAATTGAGCGTCACGACACGAAAGCTGAAATGAAGCGCGGCTTATCAGAACTTTATTTTTCGTGGTCTATTCTGTAATATTTCCGCATGGATAAAACGTTTATTTCTGGACGAGATTTAAAGTTATTGCTTTTTTCGGTTGCCCATAAAACCATTTAAGCAAGCGGTGGTTGTATTTGTCGTTTTTAAAAATAGTGTGCTATTTTAACATTTACAGTAACTTGTTTTTATGAGCTGTGATAGATATTTAAAATATGAAGAATAACCATGAAAAATGACGTGTGCGACAAAAATATTTGGCCACATAATATTTATAATGCTGCAGTAAATCAACTAACACATTTATAGAAGCGTCCTGGACCCATTGTTTTTTTTTTTACACCATGTTTCTTTAAACACTAGAAAAAATGGCTAAAATCTTTTGCATACTCACAGCTTGTTTACTGAGTGAGTGGATGTTTTAATATGATTAAAGTTCTTTGCAGTGCCGCTGATCCTTCAGGAATTCAACGCCCTGTGCTTTCCCAGTACCAAGGTGAGGTTCTTCTTCCTCGCGTTCACCTCACTTCACATTATTTGCTTTGCATAGACCGGCAGCCTAATGACAAACAGTGTGATACTAACTGGAATGAGCTTTCCCCCTTAATCGCACTCGGTGACGCAAAACCAAGAAAACTTGCTTTAAAAACTCACAATTAGAACTCATCGAAACAATATTTACATACAGTACAAATTCAAATACTTATAAGGTAAATCTGTGTCTTTGTTTGTATATATATTCTTCTGTTGTGTGACTGAGCTTGTGGGCGTTTGAAACATTTTCACTGATATGATTCTTTTTTTTACTGTTATGAAGTTTGATCAACCTTTAGAATTTCCTATAAAATCCTTTTTATTGTTTTAGTTGTGTAAGAAAGCACATATGCTGTCTAAGAAACACATTTTCTAGTTGTCTCTTGTGTTAAAGTGATATTTTAGATCTTTTAAAATGGGTCTTGGGTTCAAGGTTGTAAATAATATCTTACCTGTTGTAGATAGCTCTTTGAATAACGTCAGTTCAGAGAGAACAAGTTTAATTTTGACTGCAGTGGGCCAATGGATAGTCTGAGTTGTGCCGATACCAATTTCTGCCATCTTAAAACTACTTTAAAATTTAAAAGATTCACACAAACACTGCTTTACAGTTGTCCCTCGCTACTTCGCGGTTAGTTTATCTTGGGCTCGCTCTATCGCAGTTTTTCAAAATAAGATTTTACATGACACACAGATGGCTTATTGATGGATGAGCTGCATGATCGGCATGGAATTTTTATTTAAAATTAATTATTTTAAATTCTTTAGCACCTCCTTCACCTCTGTTCAGCCCATACTGCAGAATAAACTTCCTGCTGCAGCTGATCAGCTGGTCATCATGCAGAGCGGAGGAGTGGGCGTGGCCAAGAGCGCTTGCAGGTGGCTGAGAGCAGCGGAGGCAGGGAGCAGAGATCATGACATCCTGTGCTCTTTTAAAGTGTTTAGAGTTTAGAAACATTGTTTAGAATATTGCAAGAGTGTGGGAAGGGTTTAAAACTCCGTAAACATATAATGGCTTTACAGTGATTTAACTTACAACATATCTTTGATGTTTCATATCTGGAAATAAACTTTGTGAATTTAGGTTTATATGTTTCTTATAACTTTTCTGCAGCTCAGACGGAGGAGGAGGACAAGCCTCTTTATAGAGATGCTGCATTTTCAATGGGTTTGAAATTCCCAGTAACGAGTTGCTGACGTTAGCGTTAGCCTCAATTAGCCTTTGTTGGCTCTATCTCTACGGATGACGAGGTTTTAGGGGATTACATATTGAATTAAAGAATAATAAGGAAAACTTTAACAGGAATGCTAAATGGTTGACTTATGGCACTACACAGTGAATGAGAGAATGTGATCACAGCCTTTTCCTCCAACCTGAGGGCGTTTATTAAAGAGCTATTTGCAACAGGTAAAATATTAATTGCTCATAACCTTTCCACTGAACCCTCACTTCACAAGATCTTGACCGTGGCTTTATTCTGATGTAAGTGGGTAAAAGTACAGTACATAGTGCATAGCCTCTGGAGTGGCCTCTCACCAGACGGCAGCATGAAGGTGGATCAGACGAGTAATACTCTGTCCTTCAAGACGTCACCAAATGAACAACATGGATGGAGAGAGAGGAAATGCCCTGAAATCCAACCACGAAACCACGTTCGTGATGCCACATCTGTGCTTGTTACATTCCCGTGAGCCGTGTGTGAAAGCATCAGAAGCTTGAAGGCAAACCGGAGGTTCTTCGGTGTGCTTTTAATGCACTTGAAAAATGGGAGGTGTGAGAGGAAAGTAAAATGAAGCGCGCGCTGATCCACAGGAACAGAACGAAAGGAGACAAAGTGCAAAATCTCTGTAATGAAATGTTTGTCAGTGAGAGTGCTGCTTTAGTCTCTTAATAATGTTTTGTCTTTTACAACAAGTGCACTCTTGTTTTTGTGTTTTTAATGAGTTTATCTGGGTAGTATAAAACCAGCCTTAGATTATGGAGTCTTTAATCTCGGAGCCTAATCTGACTCTTGGCCGCGGACACGTGGGAGAAATCTCCACGTGGCTCTCCTTTAAGTTCAGAGGCCTTTTCTCCGTCTCTGAGAGGCTCTTGCTGTTGTCCGGCGAGGAACACTCGTGCGGCGGAGTGCTGCAGATGTAGTTGTCATTAAGGGTCTGGTACCCTTTATGATCCAACGCCGAGGTCGGAACTGTGTTGCCGTTGAGCGGCAAGTTCTCCGCAGGTTTGCCGCCCACCATTCGGGGCTTTTTCTGCTGCATGTTTGGGCATTCTCCTTCCTTGAGCATGGACTTCATGTGGTCGTGGTTCCTGTAAACCACAAACAGCGAGAAGACCACTATGGAGAAACCCAGCAGGGTGCACACCACAATCAGCTCGTTCCAGTAGGTCTTGGTGTTGATCTGCGGCGAGAGGTTGTCCCCCGGCAGGATGAGGACCTCCTGGGAGAGCTGCACCCTGCCTTTCAGGGTGGTGCTCTCCTGCTTGGCCTCGGCCCGCACGCAGTAGTTCGCCAGAAGCTGTCTGAAGCCTTCCTCCACCGACCAGCACTCGTAGGTCACCTGCCTGCCAGCCTGAGCGACCACCACCAGCCCCCCTTCCGGGCTGGGGTAATGAAAGTGACCTGCACTTTCGCTGAACTTCCACCTTCTTTCAGCCAGATTAGAGCGCAGCTTGCAGGGCAGGACCTTGAAAGTGTTGGCTGGGATGATGACCACCTGGCACGATGACGCCCCTGCAGGACAGCAAAGCGGATCGAGTCAGACGCTGCTTGAAACAAGCGAACCGTCTCGGCTGGCGCAGAACGCAGAATAATAATCATTTCGATACAACGAGGTGAGACGAAGAGCTCACGTACGTGTCTGTGAAGGTTTCATGATCCGTGGACTTGGCAGGGTCTTGTTGCAAATAGCTGAAGTGTCCGCTTCATCGACATCCTGCTGCAATACCCTGAAACAAATATGATGCATCATTAACGGGACAGTTCAAACCGAATGAAGTGAGTGTTCTGCGGGAATGTTTTAGACATTTAACATCTTACTTGTTGTAGATGTCTCTTTGACTAAGCTCAGTTTGGAGAGACAGAGTTTAATTCTGAACAGATTGATGAGCTAGTCTGAGACTAAAGTGGGTTGCTACTGTTTTTAGATGACTTTAATTTCACAGTTCATACGAACGCTGTTTTATAATCCTTTACACTGCTGTAAGTTTTTTATTTTGTGGTTCTTTTTGCAGAAAGGGACCCAGGCTCCACTAGAAATGACTTCAAATGTCAAGTTTTAACGATGAGAAGACTGAAGTCGTCTTTAGATTTAGCTCAACCGCCGCCTCTGATCCTGTAAACCTGGACTCCCTTCAGCCATATCTTAAGCAGTCCATTAAAAATCTCGGGGTGGTTTTAGACTCGCATTTCAAGTTTGACAAACAAATCATCTCTGTTCTGCAGAAAAGCTTCTTCCAATTAAGACAGGAAGCAAAGCTCAAGCCAGTGTGGCCCAGACCCGACCTCGAGAAACTAGTCCATGCCTTTGTCACGACCCGATTGGACTATTGCAACGCACTGTATGCTGGGGTCAGCCAGGCCTCCATCTCGCATCTCCAGCTCGTCCAGAATGCTGCTGCTTGGATCTTAATAGGAACTCGTAGATTTGAGCGTATTACACCAGTTCTGTCCTCCCTTCACTGGCTCCATGTGCGTATTAAAATATATTTTAACATTCTCCTGTTGATCTATAAGTGCCTAAATGACCTTGCACCCCTTTATCGCTCTGGAATCGTATGTTCCTTCTCGGGCCCTGAGATCATCCGATCAGCTGCTTTTGGCTGTTCCAAAAACAAGACTGAAGCTCAGAGATCGGGCTTTTTCAGTCATGGGCCCCAAACTCTGGAACAACCTGCCCCCCAACATCAGGCAGGCCACCTCCTTTCCTGTGTTCAAAACTCTGCTAAAAACACATCTGTTTTCTCTGGCATTTCACACAGTGTGTGTTGATTTAGTGTTTTTTGTTCTGCGTTCCAACGTTTTTAATGCTTTTTATTAATTTTTCAGGATATTATCATTAGTGTGTGTGATTTTTTCCATTAATTTTACTCTCATTGGTGTTATTGTTAAGCACTTTGATAACAGCTTCTGTTGTAAATGTATAAAAAAGTTGACTTGACTAGAAATGTTTCAGCTGTGATGCTGCCATCTTAGCTTCTACTGCATAAAACCACAGATTTCCATGAAAGTAAAATGACCTGCATGATGGAGCGCTAGGCGAGCAGTGTTGCTTTGCAGCAGACAAAGGTCCAAGGGTTGACAGACTTTTTTGTGTAGTTTTCATGTTCTCTTCATGGGTGTGAGTTTTCTCTGGTTTCCTCCCACTCACATGCTGCTGTAGCTCAGTGGTCAGTGCCACAGTCTCATAATGCTGAGGCTGCAGGTTCGAGCCGAGGCTACGTCAGGAACGGTAATCGATATAAAACAAATGCCAAATCTTTCATAGGTGTTTGCTGTGGCTAGAAGGGCAAAACATTTTAAATTGGCCTAAATGGTTGTTTTTCTGTAGAGTGTAGATAGCACTAGCTCTCTGAAATCATGAACAGGATCAGGTTTATTAAATGAATGGTTTGATTTATCTATAAATAATCATGTGGTGCAAAATAAAAGTTTATAAAATAGCGTTTGAATGGAAAAAATGTGAAAATATTTGACACTGAAGTTATTTTAAGACAGCATCTTTTAGCTGTTAGCTCCTCAGTCCTCGTTGATATTTTTCCAGACATGGTACAAGGAGGTATTCACAACAAGTAAGATATTGATTGTTCACAATATTTCAACTGATCCTCACTTAAAATGTCTTAAATCCATATTTTAGGTTGATAGGACAACATGTTTTTTATTTGTTTATTTGCAATTCATAAAATAGTTTGTTAAGATGGTACATTACAGAGCACACAAGTTCATACTTGTTAGCAGGAGCACTCCTGATATCCACACACTGCCTTCCGTTCCAGCCGCAGTATGGATCCCTGGAGAGGATGCACTCCCCGCAGCTCTGGTAGTTGGTGCAGTTGGCGACTGGCACCTCCACCAGCTCAGAGAGAGTGGAAACATAAAGCTGACCCTGTGGACGGGGACAGCACGAGGTCATTCTGTGAGCAAGTACTGAAGGATGTTTTGGTTTATACATTCATTTCTGCCTGACCCATACGTAGCATAGATGCATAGATTTTTCTCTCGATCAATTTAAAAATAATTCCCGAGTAAACATTTACCAGGATTTGGGAACAGACGTGAATTCAGCTGTTAAAGCACAGCTGTTTGCAGATTTCTCTGAGATAAATCTGTGCGTAATTATAGCTCACTGAACACAGGATTTACTCATTAGGCTGGAGCTCAAGGAAACTATGAAGAAATTAATATGTAAAAACGATCCAGAGCGTCCTAGAAGTTAAACTCGGTTGTTCGTCTCTGAGCCGCTCCGTTACCTTCTCAGTGTCCAGCTCAATGTGCTGCACATGCTGGGAATCACGGAAGAGCACCATCTCCTCAATGATGTGCATCTTGTTTTTGACATTAATGGCTTTGTGGAGTCTCCCATCGTCTACAAAAAGCACAGTTTAACTTGGAATCAGTGCACGTTATCGTGTTTGTTATAAAAAGATTACCACAGTTTGATCAGTGGGATTGTGAGAGTAAAGGGTGTCATACCTGTGCCAATGAAAAGCACACTAAAAACCTTTTTGGTCGTCTGAACTCGATGGACGGCGATCTGCGTGTAGCGCACGTTACGTTTCAGAAGGAGAGGCTGGCTGCGAATCACACTGTCCATCAGGAAGTGGTCTTTGACAAAATTCAGAACCTTGTCTGGCATGTGCAGCGAGGAGGAGATGCCCTGATCTCTGGCAGCATTTGTGATGCACTGTGGAAGAGACGAAACAAATGTATGTTTACTCACGCTTGATATTAAGACAACCTGTGCGTGGACAACTCTTTCATAAGTTTTACGCACCTTAACGATTACACAGTTAAACGACCGTCAAGAAATGAAAGAAACTAGAGAAACTGCATTTTCTGAACAACTGCAGCATGAATGATGAGGCCTGAATCAATGATTGCGGAAATTTCTGTAGAATCTAAAATGGACTTGTTAAAGCCAGAAAAAGAAAAACACAAGCTAAATCCTAAAAAGCACAACACTAGCTAAAAGCCAAAAAATTTGCAAAGTACTAGCCTAAAAGCTAAATTTGTGTTTTGGGGTCTGTGGGAGGAAACCAGAGTACCTGGAGAAAACCCACGCATGCACAGAGAGAACATGTAAACTCCACTCAGAAAAGCCCCCGGCCGGGATTTGATCCAGCGACCTGAGAAGCGGCAGCTCTACCAGCTGCACCATGCGTGTTAGACTGATTGGTAACTTTAAGTTGTCCCTAGGTGTGAGTGAGAGAGTGAATGATTGGCTCGTTTGTCTCTGTGTGTCCCTGTTATGGACTGAGACCTGTCCAAGGTGTCCCCCACCTCTCGCACAGTGATTGCTGGATATGGGCACCAGTGACGCCCGTGACCCGGAAAGGACGAAGCGGGTAAAAGATGATGGATGAAAGCTAAATGTAGCAAAACACTTGGTAAATGTAACAAAAGATTAGCTGAAAATGAATAGCATTTAAAGGCTAACTAAAAGTATCAAAGTAGTAGCTAAAAGTAACAAAATGCTAGCTGAAAGTACCTAAAACCAGCTAGAAGAAAAAAGAAGCAAAAAGGCTATCTAAAAGGTAAAAATAACAAAAGACTAGCTGAAAGCTAAAAATATCAAAATTGCTGCTATAAGCTAAAACTTTTAAAAGACTAGATAAAAACAAAAAATAGCAAACACTAAAAGTAACAAAAATTCTGCTAAAAGTAGTAAAGGGCCATCTAGAAGCTAGAAATGGCAAAAACTGGATAAAAGCTAAAAGGACCAAAAGGCAACCAAGAAGCTAAGTGTAGCAAAATGTTATCTAAAAATTAAAATTAGCACAGGGCAAGCTAAAAGTAGCAAAAGTCTAGATGCTAAAACTTACAGTACAGCTGGCTAAAAACAGTTAAAGCCAACTTAAAAGCAAAACAAAACAAAAAAAACGTCAAAAGGCTACTGTAAAGAAATTCTAATGTAAAGACTTAGAAAGCTTTATTAAAGCCCAGCTAAACACTAAAAATACCTAAAGGCGAGGCAAAAGCTAAAAGGAAGCAGAATTAAAACTAAAATTGGCACAAGGAGGTGAAAATAGAGCAGGAGGAGAATGTTGTTGAAGGAGTTGGTAAAGTCTCAGTGTATTTCCATGGGATATTTGTAAAGTTAAATGTTTAGAAATTTTGAGTAAAATGTATCCAGCTCAAGTCGTGAAGTCATCTCCCAAACAAGTTCTAATACATGAATGGTTGAAATGGCACAAACTGTGCCAAAGTAGTTTAACTACAAAACATATACCAAAAAACAACAACAGGAAAACAACCGTGTGAATGCTGATCGCGCAACGAGAGTCGAGTTGTAAAAATCAATCAGATTTTAATTGATCTGTGGCTGAAGAGCAGACCTGAGCTGAAACGTGTCTGTGTGCTGAGGTTTGCCAGCAAAGAGCAACAAGGGAGAACTCACAGCTCCGGGCCGAGGCTCTGGGACCGGATGGTTGTACGTGTACCACTGCTGGGTCTCTCTGTTGACCTCCCGGTACCGCCCGTTAAAGGCCTTTTCCACCTGGTCCATGGTGAAGGCGCACACTGCAGAGCTCCCTGATGCACCTTTGTACCTTAAAGGACAAACATTCAAAGTCAACGGACAATGTTTCAAACTTCACAACTAAAACCTATAAACACTTCCTGTCGTTGCCCTCAGCAAAAAGGCAACATGCGGGCGATAATGTTGTTGCTTGTACCTGGGTATGTAAGTGTCCACGTTTCTGTTTTATCTAAACCTTTCATAAACCACAGTATGGATGTGAATGAAACTTACAGGAAGTAATCACTGGATGTCCATCTACAGCTGATAAACTGCTGGAATTAACTTGATTCAAGATGGCCGCCACAGATAATCAACCTTATCCAACTCAGTCGGTTTTCAGAGTTACATCACAATATTGTCAGGGTTTGACCCAAATCAGATCCAACTCAACAATCAGAAGATCTTAGCTCGTGAAAGGTTGCGGGTGATAAACGTCGGCTTTTTTTTTAAAAGCATGGCTTTAGTCCAAATAAACTTTTTCAGATTTAAATTAAAATGATTTTTCTAAATCCCACTGGGATTTAAACATTTGCAACAAATAAATCAAATAAATAATTTATTTAAATAATTTAACTTACAATTATTTATCAAATGAATCCAACTAAATATACAATTATGTAAAAATCAAACTCATCATATTGTGTGAAAATTACTTCCATAAAATTCCTCAAGTTACTTGACTTTTTGTTTTTGAAGCCATCACCTTCAAAAGTGTGTTTATTATGTATCTTATCTTGGTACACCATAACATGAACGCATCAGTTATCATTTCGATGCGTTTGCTGAAAGAGTAAACCTTCTTTCTCACCACTGAGACGTGAAGACTCCATAAAACACCGTGCTCTTCCAGTCCTCGGGGCTCGGCGTGAGCACAAACATGTCTTGGATTATGTTGAAGGGGAAGCCATCATCGGGCAGAGAGCACAAGAGCTGAGCCTTCAGGAAAGTGGTCCACTTCTTCTGCAGCACTCTCTCACCTCCGACGTCACCCTGCAACACAGAGGGTTGGGAGTCATGTGAACAGGAAGCCAGCAGAGGGTGGAATAGGACCAATAAATGCTGTAAAACACACTTTAATTAACATGCTTGGTGTCAGGACATCTGACACAGGCACATCATGAAATATAATCTGCTAAAGTCCCCACCAAAACATACACTAAATGTATTTTTCCAGGTAAAACCAAAGGTATCTTAATCTTAAAAGAAGATAAATTAACCCCTTACGAGCTGGAACTGACTGAGCCTGCCAGACAGATACACCCTGAGGCAGAACACTTCTAGGTCATGAAGACAATAAACTAACATCAACTGGCATAGATAAAACATGCTCGGGGCCCAGAAGAGGACAAGTGCTTTTTAATGAACAAAGAAAAAACACCATTGCTCCAACAGTTTCTTTTTCACTGACACAACCGCTGTGATCCAGCGCCTGTGGCACGAGCCTTTAAAGAGCTCCGAGGGGCACGCCAGGACTCCCCTCGACGTGGGAACTAATTTAGCTTACACAGATTGAACGATGGGATATCGGCACAAATTGGGAGGACGTCTTTAAGCCTCAGAGTGAAGGTGATTGTACGAGAAGTGTTACAGAGAGATTAAATCCCACAGAAGAGGAGCTCAGGACCACACACATCTAACGGGGTGAAGAGGCAGCTGTTTGATGATGATCAGAGGATAAAAATGGGATAGAGCAAGTCATTTTTGAAGGAATACACTTTTTCAAACAAGAGCTTTGCACTGTTATCTGGTGTTTTGGTCCAACCTTGTAAATTATTTCAACTACCGTATTTTCCACCGTACTCGTCTCTTCACCCTATAAGTTGCATCAGTCCATATTTGTCTAATGAAGTGGACAAATCCATAAATATGTTGCTTCGCCGTATACGTCGCATCTATTATGCGTCACCGCTGACAACCCGGAAATGTGGGCCGGTGTTGTGCCAAAAATCGATTTGCTGCCAAATGACGGCTGCAGGGGCGTGCATGGGAGGACTTCAACAACAATTTTACAAGATTAACACTTAAAACAATTATATGTTTGCTCTATGTTTTATTAAAGGTGTGTCTCAGTCTAACCTTTGCTTAATACTTTGACGGTCAAATCAGCTGCATGTAAAAATCCAATACGTGGGAGTAGGAACGCACAAAGGGACGAGTCCCTGTGCGTTTCTTTGAAATTTAACAAGATAAACACCTAAAAACAATTATTTGTTTGCTCAAAATTATAGCAAAGGTGTGTCTCAGTTGGTTTTACTTCATAAATGCACTTTAATGGTCAAATTAGCTGCAATTCGCCACAGCGGTGCTGTGAAATGAAGCTGATTTGAAGATTGCTCCAAGTAAAGAGTAGAACAAAGGTGGCAGACTATGGCAAGCCGACTGTGTCATTAATAGCTGGTGAAGATTCTCAGTCATCCAAGACTTGGTAAATTTAAAAAAAAGTTCAAGGCAAAAACAAAAAACTAAAAAGTAAAGTATAATAAATAAAGTCCAATTGTTTTTGTCTTGAAATTTTTTGTATTTGTCATTAATAGCCACTTTTACCTTTTATTTACCTTACTACTCAAGTGCCATCTAGAGACTGAAAAATGGTAGAGACTATCTTATCACAAGCAGAACTGGTTTGTTCCACTTTGGAGTAAGCTGTTGGGGGAAGAATCAGTTTTGTTGTGTGTTTCCTTGACTGATGAAGCCTTCCGGATCGAAGGCGAAACGTTTCAGCACACAAAAAAAGAAACTGTCCAGATGACCTGACTGAAAAATGTTGGGTAGTGTTCAATATTTTCAGAGTCAAAATGAATGAAAACGGTCATATCTCAGCCAAAAATTGGTTTATAAATATGGGAAAAAAATCCATAATACGTAGCTTCAGCTTATAAGTCACAGAGCATGTAAATTATGCAAAACACCGAGACTTATAGGGTAAAAAATACGTTACAGTCTCATTGTGAGCTCTCAGAGCATGCGTGGAGAATGACTCTCAGCTACCACCACACCACACTTGAGCTCAGTCTCAGAAAAACTGAGTTATTGCCACTTTCCTGTTGGCCAAGGTTGAGTAGCTGTAATCGCCATCTTGAAGTGAATTGACTTCAAATGTTGATGAGTTGTAGATGCACACGCACGCACGCACGCACGCACGCACGCACGCACGCACGCACACACACACACACACACACACACAGGTTAAAACCTTATCGCCTGCCGGTTTGCCTTCAGTCGCTATAAAAATCCTGAAGAAGTCAAACCTCAGCTCGGTCTTCTCCAGTGCAACATCGGTGCAGCGGTGCTCGGGAAATGACCAATACAAAATGACCAAAACGTGACCAATACTGAACCTCTGGAGCAATTACTTCTTGTAGAAGCCTATGCAGGTAATGAGGAACATACGTTTTCTCTTGTCCTTCTGGCTAAGACGAGTTTTATAATTTAATGCCACTCTGAGCTCAAACTGACTACTGAATAATTGGAGTAAAATGCAGTCCGCTCATTAACCGCTTGTAAAATCAGACGTCGTTCTAAAGGCTGCTCAAAAAGCCACAGACATGGCCGACAGTAACGTCTGCTTTCTGGGAACAATCCTCAGATGAGACATGCTTTGATTTGTTTGTTTCAGGCAGAGAAAAAAAAATGTTTATCCCGCTATAGTTGGCCTCAATGATGCAGAGCAAAAGTACCAAACACCCTAACATACTCAACAAAAAGTACACAGAAAGTCAAACAGTGCTGTTTAACTCCAGCCTCTAACGAGCTACGATTCAGTATTTCCATGACTCAGAAAATAAGTGGTTCATTTGAACTGGCATCAGCAAATAGTATTACTTACTGAGTAAGATGATACAGTTTTAATTATTTATTTGTTTGAGGCAAGTTGCTAATTTCCTCGTGGGTAATTATACCAGGATACTCCATACTGAGCATTTTAATTTAACCGTATGTGAGAAAATCAGCCTCCAACTAGCTACATGACTCAGTATTTACAAGACTCTGTTGAGTGGATTGTTTTGTGTGGAAACCTGGGTGGGTAAATAAATGAAGGCAATTTATCTCTCCAATGGTGAAACAACCTTCTGCTTCACAACTGGGTTGTTTTACAACACTTCAGCCGCTTCGGTATTTATCGTTCTGCTTGTGAAGTCTACAGTGTGATAGTTTTTATTCTTGGTCCAATATGATCTTTATGATTGTTAATCAGGGTAATATTTTAAAAATCTACTAAATTAATTAATTATGCATGTCTTAATGAAAGAACAAGGCCTGCAGCCAGTGTTGCCAGGTGTACGATAATTATCGTATTTGTACAACAATTTTGCCATAGGATGTACGATCAATAATCCCCAAAAAAGGCCAAATATATGATAATTTGATAATTCCGTGAATGTGTGGTTGTAATCGGTTGTCATCAGCCTCTTGCAACTGTCTGTCAGAGTTTTTTTGTGAACCCTGAAGGCATCTGTGTCCGCAAACAGATGTACGATTGGCTGGAAATTCCAGCCAATCGTGCTTTTCTAAATGTGACCTACGAGTGACGTGTTTGCGTTTGCCTCAGAACAACGGCCATGATTGGATGAATAGTCCGCTGCGCCCGCCCCATGAGTGAGGAAAAGAAAAAAAAGAAAAGAAGAAGAAGCAGAGCCGGTCAGGAAGTGGACTTATCACTACTATAGTGCATAAATAGATTTGTTATTTTAGTTATGACGGGCGTACGATAATTTCCCTCAAAATACGATAATTTTATGTCTCTAGTACGATAATCCTACATTTCTCACCTGGCAACGCTGCCTGCAGCCTTGTGCCAAAGTGTTCAACTGAGGCCAAACCTTGCAAACAACATTATCATAATTTTCACTGTATAAGTCGCATTTTTTTGCATAAATTAGTATGCCCGCGACTTATACAGCGAAGCGACACATTTATGTTTTTTTCCCATATTTATAACCAAACTTTTGTCTGTGATCTGACTATCTCATGCATTCTGACAAGGAAAATATTAAACACTACCATTTTCAGCCACTAGAGGGCCCTCGACTAATATGGCAAGCCAAGTGTCTCATTAATAGGTAAAAGTGGCTACTAATGAGATGCTTTGCTTGCCATACAATCACCTTCATCTCACTCTGGAACTCCTGGAGCAAACATCAAATCAGCTGCATTTTGCCACGTCGCCCAGGTGAAATGCAGCTGATTTGACCATTAAAGTACATTTATTAAGGAAAAGTTCAACTGAGACACACCTTTACTATAATGTCGAGTAAACAAATAATTGTTTTTAGGAGGTTATCTTGTTAAATTTTTTGAAGAAATGCACAGCGAGTCGTCCCTCTGTGCGCAGCGAATCGGCTTTTGAAATGCAGCTGATTTGACCGTCAAAGTGCATTAATGAAGGAAAAGTTCAACTGAGACACACCTTTGCTATAAGTTCAAGCAAATAAGTTATTGTTTTTAAATGTTAATCTTGTTAAATTCTTGTTAAAAACTTCCCGTGCACGCTCCCGCAGTCGCCATTTGGCAGCCAATCGATTTTTGGCACAACACCGGCCCACATGGGTTGTGGGCGGTGACGCATATCAAACGCGACGTGTCAGCGTTGACACATAATACATTTGACGTATACAGTGAAGCAACTTATTTATGTTTTTTTTTCCCACTTTATTAGACATTTTTTGGACTGATGCGACTTATACGGCGGTGCGACGTGTTTGGCGACAAGTACAGTATGCATGCTCTAAAGAGACTTGTTAGAGCTCAAAGTATGTGTTGAACATAACTCTCAGCTACTGCAGCATTAAACTTTAGATCATTTCTGTAAGTTTGACAGAGTTACATCTTCTTGTGTTTGCTAAGGCTGATTATCTGTGGCGGCCATCTCAAGATCAGTTTTTGGCTGAAAGGATAAAAAAACCCAAACTGATGTAGTCTGAGCAGTTCTGGCTGGTTTCTGAATCCAGATCTGGAGACAAATATTTGTTAAGAACTAAGAGAGAACATTTGGAAACAAGGGCTCAAACAAAAGGGACCGATGCGAGGGAGATGTTTTCATACATGTTTGCCCAGAAGGAGTGTAATCTACGAGCAATGTGTTTCAGCTGAAAGCAGCTTAGAAGGTGACATGTGCATCTGTAGAAGCACAAACACGTTCGTAAAGGAACAAACAAACAACCCCAGAGTAATCCTGGTTGGTTAGACTCCTTCAGTGGCTGTACAGGAAGATGCTGCTTCAGGGTATAAAGCGTCTTTGGATGGACTATCTGGCAACACTCACCTTACACACACGTGCGATGCGTGACACAACGGTGTTGTCAAAGAAATCAAACTCCTTTCCTGCTTCGCTGAAGAAGAAGTAAATCTTATCGTCGTCGCCCATGAGGTTGCCCTTGGGCAGGCTCTCCTGTATGTAAGCAGAGCCAACAAAGGCCGGGTCTGAAAGGAAAGTAACAATACTATCACACCGAGATCCGGGCACTGACATCCCTACTGCTGAATGGAGTCCTCCCACAACTCGGATCACAGGTAAACACCATCATCTTGTTAAATTGCAGGCCTGACAACCAGCATTTCTACAACAAAACTCTGAAGCTGACTTTAATCCCTTCTAATATGTGATGTTAAATAGTATATGGAAAGACTTGTGTAAGACAAAGCTTTGTTTTCAGTCCAAGCGCTGTACCTTGAAGCCAGTTGAGTGAGTTCTCCGTTTTCAAAGAGGTGCCTTGGCTCAGACTCTTGTAAATGATGGGTTCGTTCCCTTGGAAATTACTGACAGTGCCGGCATACAGCTCTCCGTCTGCAATGAAGAGAAAAAGACAAGCATTGTCACGAAATGTATCCTTAACCGCATTAAAATGCAGAAGTTATGTTGCAATTTGTACAAATCCAAAATAGTTGGGACGTATAAAACGTAAATAAAAACAGAATGCAAATCTTGTACATCCACATTTTATTTACCGTACAATTGAGCATAGTAAACAGATAAAATGTTTATAAAAAGAAATGCTATCTTATTTTAGAATAAATTTGGTCATTTGGACAGCACAATATCTAAAATGCATGGGAATGGGGAAACAATAGGTTGTAAACAGCTAAAGGAGGATGTTGCAACCATTTAGAATAATTGGCAACAGGTTAGTAAGAAACTATAAAAAGAGCATTTTAGAGAGGCGGAAGCTCTCAAAAGTAAAGATGAGCTGAGTTCATCAGTCTCGAAAGGTTATCTCTGGAATTACTAGAACAATTTCAGAATAATGTTCCTTAACAGGAAATTGGAAATTTGCTAGATTATCTAATAAACTATAGTTCATAGTTGTTGTTTTTTTGTTTGTTTGTTTTTGGCTTCCCTTCCCAATGCAACCTTGAACCATCAGCCTCAGGATTACAAGACCGCACATCTATAGTTCGTAACATCATCAAAAGATTTGCTAGATCTAAAATCTAGGTGCTCAAAGGACAAGACTGAAAGTCAAGAATGGACGCCTTTGATTGTTGGGTCTTCAAGTGACACTGCATGAAAAACAAAACTAACTCTGTTCTGGACATCACAGGATGGACTCAGAAACATGTCCAAAAATCACAGGCAGTAAAAAGTTTGTCATGCCATTCCCAAATGCTAATCAAAGCTCAATCATGCAAAGAACAGTCATATGTGAACTGTGAACAGCATCCAGAAATGCAGCCATCTTCTCTGGGTCGAGGGTCATTTAAAACATGACTGAGGCAAAGTGTAAAAATGTTCTGTGGTCAGACAAATCTAAATCTGAAATGATTTTGAGAAACCAAGGATGCCACATCCTCTGTCCTAAAGCAGAAAGGGACCATCCAGGCTGTCATCAATGCACAGTTCAAAACCCTGCCTCTCTGATGGTATGGGGGTGCATTAGCATCTATGATACGAGTCACTTACACAACTGCACCATCAATGCAAAGAAGTAGAGGTGTACCAATTGCAGTTTTATGTTTGATCACCAATCTCTAAAAAGCCTGACCTGCCGATTCTAATTTTGTTTTATAAGCGACGCTGTCAGGTGCTGTAAGATCACAATGCACCTTCAATTTTCCAATCTTATTTTACTGAAAAACATACTCTTGAACAATATTTTAGAAACAATACGAACTTATTTTAACTGGCCATGAGGTAGTGCTTTGAAATATAAATGAAGTTCAGACAATTGTTGATAAAACTACAAAATATCGGTAAAATCGGTTTCTCGTGTAAGCATCGGTAGATCTCCGAAAATTAAGGAAATCGAGGCCGATGAATACAAAGAAGTGTATGCAGGTTTGAGAACAAATGTTCTCATCCAGCAACAAAGACCCAGGACTGTTGAACAGCTTGAATCCTACATCAGATCAGAACGAGACCATTCACCTCCAAAACTCAGGCAACTGGTCTCCTCAGTTCTTAGACATGTACAGAATGCTGAATGAGGTAAAAATGTCTCTGTCTCCACCTCTTTTAAATATGTTGATGGCATCAAGTTGTCTTTTCTTTTTCTTCTAAAAAATAGTATAGTCTTAGTTTCAAAGTTGCATATATTTACTATGTTTCATTTCTCATAAATTATGGGTTTATGGTGTTTGTGTATCATTAAAATGTGCCTTTATTTATGTTTTGCACAACGTCCTACCTTTTTTTTTTTTTTTTTTTTTTAAGAGTTAGACGTTTATGTGCATTCATCGTCTTCACCTGTTCACCGAACTGTGTCTCATCTTCAACAAAGCTTGGTTGTAACCAGCAAACTCTCAGACCTACCAGCCATGATGGCGGTCGACTTGTACTCAGGGTTGAATGGGCAGCGGCTGCGTCCGTCCTCTGTCAAAATCTCACCAGCATCGTTTTTGGCAAAGGAGAAGTCTGAGGCGTTCTGAAGGACACACACAAACACACACCAGATGTGACAACTGGACTGTGAGATTACATCTGAGCTCACTGTCAGGCTGTGTTAGAAGAACAAAGATGGTCTGTCTTTGGTTAAAGTTGAAGCGCAGGTCATCCAGTTTGTCATGCATTGTTCTAAAAGGCTTTGAAATAATTCAAGAAATGGATGCCAAACCAGATTGATTTCGATGTAATCTGGTTAGATGCATCAAATATTTTGATTCTTTCCCTGCGAGCACTGCAGATGATAAAATAATGCACTGATATTGTATTTGGGTGAGACGGACTGCTAATGGAGTCGAGAGGGGCAGGAAGAGGCATGCATCGGGTTTTATGTGCTCTTCCTCCAGAATCAAATAAAACAAGCATCATGAAAAACGTCCAGCTAATCAACTTTTCTGCATCAATCTATTATTTTTAAGACCCTCACAAAAACAAACCACGAACACGTTCTGGGACTTACGATGTAGGCACAGAGCGGGCTGAAGGCATACGTTCCACACACATACAGGTGAGTGCTGTTCATACGGAGCAAAATCTTGATGTAGTTGAAACAATCCTTCTGTATCAGAAACACAAAGTGGGAATTTTATGAAACTGCTTGAAATGATCCTACTTGTAAGTATTAACAATACGTTTGTTCTAGTTTGTATCCAATGTAGAGACAGAGCATTTATTACCTTACCCATTGAAGAAGCTCAGTTTAGAGATGTAAAGTTTTATCTTGATTAGATTGACGAGCTTTAAGATCGACAGCTGCTATGTTAAACAGTGCTTCTAAAATAATTATGAAATGTAAAACTGATAATATAGGATTAGTAGTGTTTGCGTTAAATTTATATCTCACTGGGCTGACTGGTGGAAACTACTTAGAGACTCACAATTGTAAGGAAAAATGCAAATTTTCACTTGGCGTCACATTGAATTGTCATTTATGACTTGTTTATCTTTGTACATAACAGCAAATAAATTGTAACTTTTGTGGGACATTTCTGTGAACGATGTGCACATACAGGTGCAGGTCATAAAATTAGAATATCATGAAAAAGTTGATTTATTTCAGTAACTCCATTCAAAAAGTGAAACTTGTATATTATATTCATTCATTACACACAGACTGATATATTTCAAATGTTTTTCTTTTAATGTTGATGATTATAACTGACAACTAATGAAAACCCCAGAAAGTTTGAATATTACTTAAGACCAATTAAAAAAAAGGATTTTTAGAAATGTTGTCCAACTGAAAAGTATGAACATGAAAAGTATAAGTATATACAGTACTCAATACTTAGTTGTGGCTCCTTTTGCCTGAATTACTGCAGCAATGCGGCGTGGCATGGAGTCACCACTTTTTGTGAATCTCCCCCACATTTTAGAGTAGGTTTTGTTTCACAATCTCCTCCAAGGTGCGGTTATCCCTTTTGCTTGTTCACTTTTTTCTACCACATCGTTTCCTTCCCTTCGCCTCTCTATTAATGTGCTTGGACACAGAGCTCTGTGAACAGCCAGCCTCTTTAGCAATGACCCTTTGTGTCTTGCCCTCCTTGTGCAAGGTGTCAATGGTCGTCTTTTGGACAACTGTCAAGTCAGCCGTCTTCCCAATGATTGTGTAGCCCACAGAACTAGACTGCGAGAACATTTAAAGACCTTTGCAGGTGTTTTGGGTTAATTAGCTGATTAGAGTGTGGCACCAGGTGTCTTCAATATTGAACCTTTTCACAATATTCTAATTTTCTGAGATACTGAATTTGGGGTTTTCATTAGTTTCAGTTATAATCAACAACAATAAAATAAACATTTGAAATATATCAGTCTGTGTGTAATGAATGAATATAATACACAAGTTTCACTTTTTGAATGAAATTACTGAGATAAATCAACTTTTTCATGATATTCTAATTTTATGACCTGCACCTGTAGTTTTGTCTCAGTATAATCACAAGTTTTTCCATTTATGTCTCAATTTGGTTGCAATTCTCTTGTTGTCTCGAATAAGTCACAATTAGGTTTCACAAGTTGCCAAACCCTCCTTGTCTCAAGTTTCTCATACCTTGTGACTCTTAAAAACAAAATAAAGAAGCTTTGTTTTGGACTTTTTGTAAACTCGTTTTTACATGTTGTTGCCAACAAAAGCAGCCTAGTGAGATGTAAGCTCTGTAAAATTTTTGATACTGGATTAATTTTTACTAGCAGCTCATCAATCTGGTCAGAACTGGACTATTTTTCCAGACTGAGGCCATCCATCAAGCAATCTTCAACAGGTAAGATATTAACTGCCAATAGTTTTTCTACAGAACCCACTTTTAAGCTGTTAAAAAAAAAACTGTCTGGAACATTAAAAACAAACTCTAGCTCGTGCTGCTAAAGTGCTTCGGTCGTAAAGGTGCTTGACTGAGATCGAGCAGCATGACAAAAGAAAGAGTGTAACGAACGAGAAGAGTGCTTGACAGGAAGGGAAAAATCCATTGTTTTAAAATGGAAGACAGGAAATGCTCCCATTTTCCAAATGGTCAGATACAGAGAGAAAAAGCATCCCTGGACTCATAACAGAGGTTTAGCTGCTGTGCAAGCTCCCCAAACCAGCAGGTGACTCGCCTGGAGATCTTTGCCTTTGAAACTGCACTCCTCTCTCTTCGTCTCTGGAGTTTTCCATGTGAGCTGCAGGAGGAAGAACAAACAAACAAACAAAAACACTGTAAGACCCGTGCAGTTATACAGTAAATTACAGGGATTGCATCATATTCATTACCCAATCTCCACTGCACATCAAGAATGTAAATAATAACGTCACATGTGAAGCTGCTGGCTCTTACACTCCTCTGTAGTTTGGCTGTGCTGATATCAGAGAGGTTGAGAGCAAAGAGGATCTCCCGGGCGCCCACATACAGCATGCTGTCTTCACTGCTGAGGAGCAGGGAGGTGAAGTTGAGGACCCCGCTGACTGAGAATCTTCTGCTTGTTCTCTCTTTTGCATCTGAACAGATGAAAAAAAAAGACATCGGATGTGAAATATCAATCAATCTGTCCCGGACGATTACTGAACATTATTCAGCTCAGTCCACGCTCTGATACAGATTACATTAATAAAAGCGCTCGAGCTTTTACATGCATGCTGTTTAGAAGATTTTGTTTATGTGTTCATACTGGACTCTGTCTTCATGGAGTAAAAAGCCAACAAAGTTGATACTGACAGCCACATCTTGAACAGTTTATACGACATTAGCATTGAAGTAAACAATATAATCACAGAATAATCATCTAAAAAACACTTTAATGTATCAGAGTGCTGCAGAAACAAAAACCCTCAAAGCAACATCCATGAAGCTTTACAACAACTTGAGATTTGGGACTCCCAGTAATTAATGACCCAGCAAACATGTTGTCACACAAACGTAACGTTTCTGTCTGTGCACTTGTTCAACTCGTGTGTGTCCGAGAGTCGAATCTGTTGATGCGCAGTTTTGAACGAGAGGCAAAGATTAAATCGTCATCTGTCTGGTTGCTGCTGCTCTAGGCCCACATGGATGTGAGGTTTGCAGCGTCTGCAGGCGCAGCTTGAACAGTTTTCCTCTAACTTCATGCCAGCACAAACAGAGCAGCGAGATGTTGGAAAGTTGACGTGACCGAAGCTGTGCTGCAGGACCTCTGACCCTGAAACGTGACGACTTGGGGGAAAACAAGACATCAAAGAGACGTTCTTTTAACTTTGGAAAATCTTTTAATATCATGGGCCTCTTGTGGGAGTAATAACAGTGTGTGAAAAGAAAAAAACTCAAGAGATGCAGGGACTGAGGGGACGAGGAGCTACTGAGCATCTTTTACAGTATGGCAGCCTTCATAATTATTCATTAAATGTTTATGATGCAAGTATTAATTAGGAAGTAAACACTTAGTGTAACAAGCATGACATATTCCAGTAATAACTGTACAACGCAGAAAGTAGGGTGTTGGTTTTTTTGGTCAATCAGTGAGCCAACATTGATCTTTTTCCTCCATTCTCTCTGTTTACCTGCGTTTTTCATCATTTAAAAATATAAAACATTTGTCAATAAGTTACCTGCCTGTAAGCACTACAAGAATTTGTAGATGCAAAATATTTTTTTTGCATTTAAAATTATTTACCGGTAATTAAAAGCTTAGCTGAGCAACTAGCAAAACGTTACACTTACCATACCTTACCACTTCCAGCACTTTGGACAATAGTGTTGTTTTAAGTGCTTTATAAATAAAGTTGTATTGTATTATTGCCTGAATGAATAAAATAGTCAGAAATGGTGAGCTTGCTTCAATTTATGAAGAGTGTTTCATAACTGGTTTGTAAATACTTATTAAAGGTACTTATTGCAATCTCATGAAAACCAGTAAAAAACAAACTAACCAACTAACGTATATATTACAAAAAATAGTAAGCACGCTCATTTATCCAGGTAACACGTTTTCTGAGACATTGTTCAAAAACAATTTTTTTATGTTGTTTTTCGTTTTCCTGAGCTTGATGTTGGAAGATGTAGAGAACAAATCGAGACTCAAAATATTTTTCATCTCTTTCTGCGACTTCCACATTGTATATACGATAAAAATATCATAATATATTGTAATATATATATATATATATATATATATATATATATATACATAATATATATAATGTGGAAGTCGGCAGAAAGAGACGAAAAATATTTTGAGTCTCGATTTGTTCTCTACATCTTCCAACATCAAGCTCAGAAAAAATATCAATATTAATATTATTATTATATTATAAGTATAACAATTAATTATTAATTATATATTATATATATAATTATAATATAACTATATATAATATTATATATTAATAATACTTATAAATACATATAAATTATATATATAATTTTATAATTATTAATATATATAATATTAATATTCATTATTAATATTATATATTTGGGATTAATAAAGTATTTTTATTTTTTATTTTTTATTAAATCAGAAAAAAGTTCAATCATGTCATCTGGACAGTTTCTTCTTTGGAAGAAACGTTGCGTCTTTCATCCGAAAGACTTCATCAGTCTGAGGCTTGCCAACCCAGATGTGCTGTATTAAACTGTCCAGATGACATGATTTAACTTGTTTTTTGTCAACTATATATTAATTTGTGAGCAAAATTTGTGAACTTTTGTCAACCACCATGTGCGTTTAAAATAGGCCAACAAAGACTTCAATGAAGGAGCCGTTTGGGATTGAGAAGTCCAACAACGTTGATGGGTTGGTACATATTTACACACAGATTTGTAAAGTCAAGTGTGGATTTAAAACTGCTTTGTTTACACTGAGTGCATACCTGCATTTCAGAACTCCGTGTGAATTTATCTGTAAAACACACGGGAATAAATTCAATCTGCACCATCTGATATACTTCAGGGATGTTTGATTTTATAGTTTGCAATGAGTAGCTTTAATTCTTTGCAAAGTGTTAAAGAAACACAAATATCCCATTTATTATTTATATCCTATTTTTGAGAAAATTAAAGGAATTTAAATGCACCTTAGTCTAAAAATATAAAGCCTAATAAATTCTAAAGGTATACACTCATTGACAGCCTCCAGCTGTAAAACTTGCAAAAGTGTGTATTGGTGAACAGTTAAGCCAAAATGTGTTGATATGTTTCCTTGTATGTTGACACGATCGAGCATCTGAACTTCATAAAAGTCCGGAGGACAGAGGCGTGATTAAAACCACACATGCTGGTGGTAACAATTAGACCGATGGCACTTTCCTGCATGAAACTAATCGAGCCCAGGTAGAGTTGTAAAGTTCTGCTGATTATAAGCTGCAGTCAGCGTGACCTGATGTAACCTCCTCTCAGTGCCGCAGCAGGTTAAGAGACTTCCTCTCCCTCAGGAAAACAACATCTTAATAGCAGTCCTTTGCCACAGCAACAGCCAAGCAGATTGTATTTAAATCTGTCTGTAAAACCACAAGAGACTCTGCTCTTCGTTCTGCAGATGAAGCCACCGGGACCACTGTCTCTGCTGTTCACTGTCACTGCAGGATAAATGGACTGAACCCCCCCAGTTCCTCCATTACACACAACCTTTTGCAAATTTAACTGTGCATGATTTATGGAGAGAGACACACAAAGGCCAGGGACTGAACCAAAACAAAAGCTTTGATCAATTTTCAGAGAAAGATGCCTAAAAAAATGGCTGTCTGGAGTCAGACCACTCACGTTAGAGAGGAAAGAAACAATGCAGATTTGAGCATCGTTAAAAAAATAATCCAGGAGGGTTCGCCAATTGTGAGGAGCTTTACTTTCATTATTTTAGGGGAAAGCAACATTTAAAGTGCACTTAAACATCACTGCAGCTACAATCTCGTCAAGAAAATCTACTTTAAGAAGCTTTTAATTTAATAAAATGCATTCATTGTTTTGCATTAATGCATGCAAAAGTGCAGTTGTTTGGATAAAAAAATCAAATCCCTCTGTTTATTCTGCATCAGCATTGTTAGTGCTTTCATAAAGTCGAATGCGACTCAAGCCAAAATTAAAAAGTTGTGATGTTCTGCACGTGCAAACATCTTGTGTGAAACCGCTCGTGGAACTTGAGCACCAGGAAACGCTCCCTGTGCAGGCTGTTTCTTTCAAAAAATAAAAGTCCTTCCTGGTTGAACCTGTCCTCTCCTTCACTCCCTGCATGAATCACGTCTGTATGTTTGTCTGTGCTCAACTTTAATGTTATTTCTCATGACAGAGCAGCTCTTGAACTGCTGCGGCGTGCAGCAGGAAGAAGGAAATGAAGGAAACGTTTAGTGTAACAGCTGCTGATTGTGTCAGAAAACAGATTATTTTAGGTTACAGCCGTTTGTCTCTTTGGTCCATCTTGTTTTGTGCTGTCAAAAGAAATAAAAAGACATTTAAATGCATTATAAGCACCGTATGTTACATGTCCTCTACGTTTATTTTAAATTTTGTATTTATATCAAACTGTCTCTCATCTGAAATTCACATCAAATAATGTGAATTTGTAAAAAGAAATAAACTAACAGGTGACTCTTGGGTTGCAGACACCTCACTAAGAGTTTTAATGTTAATTTCTTTTTATATTTCTTCTTCTGTATCAGATGTTGGAAGTGCCACTTATTTACACATTTGTTTAACAAGATAACTTGGGGAAAAAAAGCAACAGCTTGACCCTGTCATGTAGAAATCTCCACAATCAGTCAGCAGTGAGTAGTGGGTGTAGCTCAGGGGTGTCCAAAGTGTGGCCCGAGGGCCATTTGCGGCCCTTGGAGTGATTTTGTGCGGCCCGTGACTGCAGTTAAAGAATGATGTAATTAATTAAGGCTTAAGAGGTTGATGAAGTTGTAGATTTCTTTAGATTTAATGGTGATACTCTTTAAATTTTTAGCTTTAACAGCAAAACATATCTTCTCAAATTGAGCGATATTAAGTACAATACAAATATTTAGCTATAATTAATCTCTTTATCCTACAACAAATCTTCACTGATCTACCCAAAAGTAGAATTTTGGATAATAATTCATACAACTTGGCTAAATATAAGAAGTGATTTCAAAGAAAATAATTTCAGTTGATTGATCGATGGGGAGAAATTGGACATTTTGAAAGAAATATAAAGTGGTATCGACATATAATTGATCAACTTTGTCAGTGTCCCTTCAAACCTTCCATGAATCTGTTTCAGTGACTGCCAGCTGTTTTTCAGAACTTCGATGACTCTTTTGGGCCAGCCTTGGTCCAAACGGGTGTTTTGAAGTTCCACCCCCTTTTTTAAAGAGCAGTTACCGTATTTTCTGCCGTACACGTCACTCCGCTCTATAAGTCGCAACAGTCCATATTTGTCTAATAAAGTGGAAAAATGCATAAATATGGCGCTTCGCCGTATATGTCACATCTATTGTGTGTCCCTGCTGATGCGTCACGTTTGTTACGTGTCACCGTTGACAACCTGGAAATGTGGGCCGGTGTGCCA